GGTTTGGTTTCTACTGTCCAATATTCCGCTTCTGAGCTGTTGACATTTGGCTCAGTTGTGCAAAACGAAGTCACAAACGGAAGTATTTGTTTAAATCGACAGTGACAGACAGAGCGCTTGTTCTAAAAACTAGAAAACCTTGTGCGAAAAGAAGTCATTTGGGCCGGTTAAGTTCTCCAGCTTGAAATCGGACGGCAGCACGCAAAAATAGAAAAAAAAACAGACTAAGAAGATTGGCCAAGTTTAAGCTCACTGCCTTCTGTCAAGATGCCTGCTAAGATAGTCATTCCATACCGATTGATGGTAAGAGCGAGAGTTTGTGGGTGGGAAGAAGTAAAGGGAATGCATCAAATATCTCCATATTTAGATAAATAACTATTTATTTTAATACTAACATATTCATTTTGTCCGTCTAGGTGAAGCGGACATGAATTCTGGATTGACCGTAAAAGCAAAAAGCTTGTCTGTTTTGACAAGTTTCAGAAAATCAGGTATCCCTAATTTATCGCTCATCTGTTTGAAGTGGGAAAATAATTTTACGATGGAGCTGTTTGCGATAATTGACGAAACGACTTGGACAGCCGTTTCGTCCTGTTTTGGACTCGTCAGCAGTGCGTACTTGTTGTGTCCCTATCAGGACTCGAACCGCAAACAAGACCATAAACAACCCCTGGTGCCTGTGAAAAACCCGATGGGCTAATCCAAGCATTCACCGTCTAGAAAGTAATTATTCTTAATTTTAATGTTATGTTATGTTATGTTAGAATGCAATTTCCAATTCATTTTTATTTTCATGCTTTTTTATAGGTTTAGTAGACTAGTTGAAGCCTGAAAATTATTCGGTTTACATTTAGTGAAAGCTAACCGTCCGTCACTTGATTTCTGTCTTTCCCCGATGTCCCACAAATAGCGAGAGGAAAAGTAGTAACACTGCCAACTCAACATTTACCTTGTGATCATTTATCGTATTTTGGTAATGGTCGACACTGGGTATCCAATAGCTATCCTGCCATGTTGGCATTTTTGAGTGAGTCAACCTCTCGTGTCCTCAGTAGGAACCGTCGGTCAGTTAAAGAGCCTAAACTCTTACCCGTTAGCTATACTAACAACGATCATGCATTTACAGTCACACCTAAAGTACATAACAAATATTGAAGTTGAATGAGCCAACCATGCGGTCATCTCGCCCCTTCATGAAGTGCCATTCAATGTTTTGACAATTTCTTTCATAGAAATGAACCAAACCCATTGGATTTGATAGCATGAACAAACGGTTTTTCTTGTGAGTGGATATTTTAAATAATTGATAATTAATGGGTTATCATGATAAGATGCTAGTAAAAGAGCTTGATTTCTGTGCTACATTAACTGGCCAAATGCAGCACAATTTATAGCAGACTGAACGAATGGTGAGGGAAGATATCTTGACCAATGAAATCGGAAATTAGAAACAAATGATGTAATTGAGATAATTAGTATTTTAGGTATCTATGTGTTTGTGTAGGCCTGGGTGTGGAAGATGGATGTGGGAGGGTGATTGTGAAATTCTGAGTGTTTAACCGAATGGGAGTTTATTATCAGAGGTTACGTAAGTGGAAGGCTATGATAAGACCAGTGTAGTTAAAAACTGTTGCTTGTTACACAGGATGTGTGTGTGGAGACGGATAGTAATTGCCTTGACTGTCGACAACATTAGGGGTTTGATCTCTCTACATAATGCTCATTTGACCTTCTAGAATGGACGGTGCATGACTCTCAGTAAGATACATTTATCCCTACCAAATAAGCCTCTCACCAAGGAAATTTGGATATGCCATTTATTGGGTTATCGTCTATGTAATCTAAGATAAAACATATTTTCAGCAAAAATGAGATAAAGGTTTCCGAATACACATGATAGTTGAACATATGCTTTTGGTAATTTTAGTTTCAAGTCAATACAACTGCATTTATACTTAAAGAGAAAATTACACATAATGTTGGAATTTCATTGGCAATTCATTTGGGGTAACCAAGGGTGAAGATGAATAAGTCAACTTTATCGATAGGCTCGATAAACTCTGTAATGATCATAAATAGATCGGGCTAACACTAAGCTCGTTTTTGTCAATCCGGTCAGTTGGACAGGCTGAACCAATTTCCTGTGTTTTCATGGGTCCGGATTGCAATGTAGATGCAACTAACTTCAAGGGTTGTTTACTTTCCTGGCTTAGTCGCTCTTAGTGTATACCATTCTACACACCAATTTGTCAGTGATACTAATGTGTTACAGTGGACAGGGAACACTTTAGTAACAACATTTTCATCCAGTTTGGTTAAAAGTTACATTACAAAAAATGTATATCCCTTTTGTAATACATTTGATCAAAGATTTTTTAAAATATGCATTGTCTTTCAAGTCCTCTCCGGAAAAATATCAATACAGAAACAGTGTTTGCATTATTTGATCAACTGTAATATCTATTCATATCGGATTATTCGCATGTGAAAAATTATTAGTGTCGATATGTGCCTAATTTTTTCTAGCATTACATTGGTTAATTTGACTTTATAAATCATCCCTGATTGTTCATCATTGGTTGGAGAGCTTATACTTGTGAAATCTGATCGTAATTTGAGGGGTTAGTTCGATTGAGTGACAAGACGGTTTTCACTTACCTGTTTTCCTTAACATGACACATTCATCAGTGCAAAACATTTCACGTACGAAAGCCGGTCGCAACCGAAATTCATCAATTTAAACTAGCAGACATAATAATGTGATTTGCTGATAGCACTGGGATGAGTTAAAGGATCTGATGAACACGTTTTTCGGAACTTCATTGTTATTCGAAACATAGTAGAATGGTTAACCAGAGTTAAATATCATATTTTGATGAACGTGATCACTTACCAATGAAAATAAAATTAGACATTCAAACAACCAACTTTTATTCTTTACCAACAATATCTTCCTCTTGTACTGCCTTTTCCGCTGGTTTTTATCTGTGTAAAAGGCGTAGAATCACGCAACATCCCATTCCAGTGACCCATGAACTCACGGAATCATATAGAATCAATAGAATTCTCGTTTCGACTTCGTCAGCCATACCGAAGGTAACCATCAGCCATAATCTCCTTGTAACTGAATACATTACTTGCATTTCATTGGGAATGTCCCATGCAGATGGAGATGCACAGTGTAACAGCTAAAATTACGGAATGTCCTTGGTCAGGATGTATTCACTAGCAATCAAAACCAAGAAATGAAACTGTCAGTTGTTTTCCCTTACCTATCTATCCATCAAGAACAACCCCCGGTGATTGTCTTACCTTGAAATAACTGATTTAGGATCAGCGCTGCGATAGCCGATATTCATTCCTTGTTTGGATTTCTTTCTCTGTCCTTTATTGTCAGTTTTTTTTCGAATATTCAATTGTCTCATTTATCAGCTCTTATCTGTCAGGAGTTCTGCTGGGTGTCAATTTATGCCTCTTTTACTTTCCCCTTTTACCAGGAGGGATGAAACTTTCGTGTGCATTTAGAAATATACATTTATGGGGGTCTTGTTACTGTTCATTGTGGACATTCTCACAGTTATTTATCGTTGTTTGTTGCATCCCACTGTCCATAAACACACATTTATATACTCATGTGGTGACTGCAATAATTCGGAAAAGTTATCGCGGTTCACGAATGGATAAGTTGTCCAGATATAAACATTGACAGTCTCCTGTCAAATCGAATAGGCAGAAAACAGATTACAGACGAGGAGTGCTGTCAAATCCTTATAGACCCATTATTGTTTTTTGTTCATGTATGAAGAATCCAATTTTAGTCAGCTTAAATTTATTTATTCACCAGTTTCCCTGTAGTATCATGCATAACTTACGCATCCACTGAATTACAACGGGGTTACTTTTGCTCAGCGGTCTGTTAATGCTGCCACTGAACTAACTGGTTAGACGAAAGCTGATACTTTTTACGAACAAAAACATTTTTAGCCAAAACGAACGAAATCACCATTTATGACTTATTGCGGTCAACCCTCTCACCCCCTTGGAAGGCAGTTCTTCAACTGTTGAGTCGGTTCTCCTCACGTACCAAGCCATCGTAGGGAAATACACGATTGCGAGAATTTGAGTGTGCATGATTTTCCGTGTGTGTTTGTGGGTGTGAATGTGAATGTAGTTGAACAAATATGGATACATGGTAAAGTTTAGCATCGGGTGAATTAGATAAAACTACTGCTGCGGTCAAATCATGTGAGTCGATCACTTGACGTGGAGCCTGAAAACCCGACCATTGTGTCTGCATCAGTTTGAGCTATCGTTAACAACTGTGGGTTTGGAATGGATTTGCAAGGATTCCATAAAGTGTTATGGGAAACATATTAAATCAACACACTATTTATTTATATAATTCTGTGATAAGCAAGACTATCCACCTGGAATGAGATTGACCGAAAAACCCGTATCGCATCTCGGAGTAGTGAAACCAATCAGATACTTAACTCTCTAAACTACAAACCCTGAGTTTTATCGATCGCAATTCGAGAAGATTCCTCATTAGAGTCACTGATATCTGTTAGTGCTAAGGATACATATCAGTGCTAAATTGTAACACAAATTCAAGAGTTTTGCTTAAAATTTGTATCTTTATGGCCAATAAAGTTGAGTAATGCCAATGAATTCTCCATTGCTCTATTTTTCATAAACATGTAACCGTTTATTAACTCACAGTATTACTTTATGCATCAACGAGACGAGTACGAGGTTTACGACATAAATGATTCCGTTTTACTTTTTCGTGTTCGAACAACCATTCATTGGTAAGGAACAATGCTTGACCATTGATGCGTTATTAATGGATTTACGTTGATAGGCCTATCATCACTTACCGTAATCTAATTTTGTTTTATGTTCCAACCCAATGTTTATCCTATTTAATCTAGTTTAACATTCGTTCATCCAGGCCCGGTTTTCAGATCAATGGCTCGCATGCTGGTTTCGGAAACATCATGAGTACACAAACCAAACACACCAAGCGCGCAAATCATGATAAACACCCTCCCTTGGTGTACTGGGCCAACGCAGGCAGATTCAACTTGACAGCCTTACTGCAAACAGGACGATTCTACTTGGATGAATCGGGTCTGTTAGTAGCTCCAAACGGTACCCGATATAGGATTCCATCTGGTCCTCCAGAGGGTCGAAAACCGCTCCGACCTGACCGACCGATTGATGGAAGATCAGAAATTGCCTCTAGACAAGGTGATCTGTTTTCCAGCGAACAGCAAGATTCAAGCAAATTGGGTCAATGGAGTTTGACAAAAACACCGCACTTTTCGAACGATCTATTGTCTTCATCCACTCATAAACGAATCCAAAATGTGTGGAATCGCACAGACGTGCAGATGGGTAAAACGACTTTGCTTGGACCTGAAGGTATCAGTCAAACATCTAGTTCAGCGCTCACAACACAGCTTAACTGGAATGTTATTTTGCTGACGGTGATCCTCAGCTCAATTGCCTTAGTTTGTAACTTGGCTCTCGTCGTTTTTCTGTCTTGGAAGCTCAATCGTTTTCGAAAAAGTCCCATGCATTCAACACAAACAACATCGTCTCAAAGGGGTCATTCAAATCCCCTGGTTCATTTTCCATCAATTTCCAACGAAGTAGAAAATCTGGACCGCTGTCATTGTCTTCATAGTCGTTTTTCCTCTGCTGCAGATCCAACACGGGTAGTTGTGCCTGGATTTAATGCAAAATCAGGCACATGTCCTGCACACATGTTTGTTCAAGATCCACGAACCTTTCATTCTCGATTGTCCCGTCGATATCGGTCTCGTCGGGGTAGACGACGACGACGTCCGGCAGCAGCTCACAGATTCGGTCGCGGACATCAAGAACGCGATCCTTTAGTGGATCAGAAAAATGCACTGTATACTGATCCAAAAACACACATACTTCGTACAGAGATGTCACTTCTAGGTGATCTCGGTCCAGCCGCACCATTTCTTAACCCAATGGATCGTGTGGAAATCGGATCTAGTTCTGGAGGTAGTTGGCATGTCGTAGTCAGCGATGGAATGATCAGCGAAACTACAGCAGACGAAGAAGACAATAACGAGGAAAATACTACCACAGGTGGTGATTCCGCAACGAATTCAGATATTCTTTATCGGGGCAGTAGGCACCGAATTCCGAGTGCACGTTGGGGATTCAGCAGAAGTGATTCTACTCCGGAAGATATCGGCCGACTTACGGAACTGGGCGCCATTATGAACTCGAACACTCGACGCGTCATTAGCATGAATGCTAAACGTAATCATTTGGACACCATTCGATCCGATCGTCTCCCAAACTCGGGAGATGCAAGTAGTGCATCCCATTCGGAATTCTCGTATTCCGTCGCACAATGCCCGTCGCAATCTGGATTCTTAAAAGATATCAGCACCATCGGGACCGTTCAAGTGAGCCATTCCCTGGGAATTCACTTTGGACTGCTGGGAATTATTTTGTCTCTTATACAGTTGATTGTAGTCTGTAGTGCACTAAGCCGGCGAATGGTGGATTCCGATATCCCTGGGAGTTCGAATACATTCAAAACGGAGTCTTACCTATCCGAATTGGTTTGTGTTATGGCAACATCGTTGGCTGCTGATACATTACTTTGTGCTCGTCAGTATGTCTTGGCCGCCATAATTCTAGTATTCTGGACCACATGTTATATGGCCCTAATTGGCCCAATGGTTCGAGACAGCCCTCAAACAGCATTGAGTTCGTTCTGCTTATTGAAATCAGGTGGATCAAGCGAACTTGACCAAGGCACCAACGTTCCGGATGATGGGCGACGCCAACAACGCTACGCTTACTTGGCTTTAACACACTCCCTACCTTGGGCGGTGGCAGCTGGGACTGCATTGCTGATCACTTTTGCCCTGCCGAGCAGTGTAGCTGACATTCCTTCACCAGGAACGCAAATGAAACTGAACTTGTTCTTTCATGGTCTACATTCACTGCTGGTCTGCCAGGTGGATTTGAAACACGCTTCCCGAATAAAAACCGAAAGCCCTAGTCTTGTATTGGGCACCGATTCGGTGGAAATCACATTGCACAACATAAGTAACAGGGTTATAGCTGTGACTCATTCAGCACAACACTCGCTTGCTTGGTCCCTTCTCATTCTCATTCCGTTATGCATTCACGTATTACTCTGTACAATCTATGCCGTAATAATTCGATTAGGGATGCAGCGTTGTCGAGGCATGAAACGCCTAGGTCAGAAACATCAGGATACTGGTCGAATAATCTGTTGCATTACTGGAGTGCTTCTAGCATTAATTTTGTTGGAATATTTCAGCTGTGCCGTTCCAGTTGTCTGGTTTATGTTCGCAGCTCCCTGGTCGCCATCATACGATGCGGAAACAACACAAACATCTTCATACATACACCGATTGATTCTTATACATCTGCTCATCGATCCCTGGTTGATCTGTGGCTTAATTCGAGTAATAATGGCAAGAATGATAACACAATTGAATCAATCAGTAAGTATCGACAGGCCTCTACATTCCGAGAGGGTATTGCGCTCTTGGTCACACGAATCTCCGATCGGGACTGCTGGCAGAAATAGTGCATATCATTCGCAAAGTATGGATGTACCCGGGAGACCAAGTGCTCCATCAAATGGTTTGATGAGTTGTTTGCCTGTAACCAACAGACTGTCTACAACAACAACAGCAACCGATTCACGAGGATTGGCAGTTCAACCAAACGGACAGGCCATGCTGATGCCCTGTGTGCCCAGCACAAATTTTTACGTATCCCCAATCCAAACTTTGCAGCACTCCACCGGAATGGACACGGGTTTGTTTGTTCCATTGGAAGATCACGCAGTTCGATTGTCTCCTTCTCAGTCGGATACTCTCACAATGGGTCATTTTCACCCTAATCCAGCCTCGCTCTCAATGTCTATGACTTTTGCCAATCCCACACGCTCTTCAACCCTCGGTCCCTTATCGATTGTGCAACAAACTTCGCCTCCAGCCGTAAATGCAGACGTCTTCCCTCAATTATGTGAGCATCATCAGAAGTTATTGGAACAACATTATGCAGTTCGCCTACCTGAACAAGATCACTGTTCCGGAATGATCAGTTCTATTGGGCTGACGACAACCGCACAAACCCTTGTTACCTGTGTCTCCTCAGCGTCCACATCCACCACAACAACATCACAATCGGGTCAGCTTCGAGCGTTCGGTCAAGTTCCCCGTATAAATTCATCTAGTCTGAAATTTGCGGATTCTTTGTTAATGAAGCCGATCATTCGACTGACTTCGGACGAGTCCTGTGCAACCATTGCATCCGTATCAGAACGCACTGTTTCCGGGGCACATCTCGTTCAGTCAAATTACCCCTTGATGGAACATTCACCAGGCTCAGAAGACACAGGTAAACTTTTATCGGGCAGGCCACCTGGTGGAAAGAGTCAAGCCACTGCCGCGGTGATGGCAGCTGCCGCAGCGGCTGTGGCAGCTCAGGCGGGTACCATGTCACGCGCATCAACGGAACAGCACACGCCCGCTGGGGTAGATCCCACACAATCCTCACCAACATCACAACAACATTACCAGCAGCAATCGAACAATGACTTAAAGAAACCGCTGCATCATTCCAATCTCTCTACCACTACGAACGAGAGTTTACAGCGTCTCCCGAAGAATGATCTCGTACAACGTGACTAGTGCTAAAATGTCTAAAGGTTCAATGTCCCTCTTGCTTCCTTTTTCATGACTCATTCTGTTTTACCTTCTTTGGTTTGACCTGAGATTTGTACAGTATCCCGTTTTCACTGACTCACAATCCTTAACCTTCAACCATATTCGCCGATCCACACACCTCCCCCTCACAAACACACACACATACACATACACAAACCGCTCCCAAATTGAAACCGGTTAACAGTGTTCTCCAAGCGTTCCACTTTGTGCTACAAACCTCTGGCGCTTGTCAACTGTATCTCTCTTTCTCTTTCTCTTTGATGATCACAGAGTGATACACAATCAATAAATCAAGTCTACACCTTCCCCCGGAAAATCTAAAGTGACCACAAATGTGATGAATGTATGTGGGCATTTGCATGTCACTGTATTCGTAAAACAGATTACGCATGTAGCTAACTGCAAACAAACGGACACGTGATTGTGGCTTCCTGGTTGCTCATTTATATTTGGCTTCCTAGAGAAAGAGCAAATTTCGATAGAGTGCTGAATCAATGTAAGCATGGTGGACGAAAACGCAAAGCCTGATTAACCACTCCCAGCTTGATTCTTGTAGAAGGAATACTATGCAAAATCGTTCCACTTGCACGCAACTAATAGGCCTGCACAAAAGCATTTCCTAACTTATCAATAAGGATTAGTCAATTTTTATACTGGTTTGAAATTCAATGGAAATTGGAGGCATATGTAGGCTACTTTAATGCACGATAAGTTCAGTACACCCGATGGGTACATTTTCACCACAAAGGAAATGTTGCTGACCCCTTTAAACGAGTCATCACGCGGCAGTTGGTTTTTTAATGTAACGTAGGCTAGATATCATCATCAGGAAGAATAATTAGCTTTTAAGCTAAATAGAGTAGTTCAGTGTAGTAATCGGTGAAACAGGTCGGTGAGCCCGTTCAGAGTTTGAGTTTGTGAGTCAAAACAACAACATAACAATAATTCTACTTTTGATGAACATGTAGAATTTAACAGTTGATTTTCAGGAGCAGAGGTATAACCAAACAAAGTTCTCTGGTTACTGCATAAATTCGGACAGTGGGTTGCAATGATCAGATTCGAACACAGCTTTCGTTTTGCCGTTGTTGTTGTCCTTGTTGTTATTGTTAATCGCTTGACTGCTGAAGACTTCGTTATTTTGATTCAGCAATTCATTGTTGAGTGGTCAAAAGAAAATCCAATTGAGCAGATTCGAGTGAGTTTTAAACTACTTAGAAATCCCTGTTATTGAAAATAGTGTTAGAAGACTCAAAAGACAAATCTCTTTATTTCTGAAAAATATTCCTTTGTTCAACTTTATCATTTCGGTTAAACAAGCAAAATCAACAAGAAGGTACTTACCTAATAGTTACTTCAAATTTGCGTTCTCAAAGCCAACCAAAGCAGCTCACTCACTAGGCAAATAAATAATTTTCAACTTTATACTGCTTCTCTGTTTGGTTTCCTTTATGAATGAAGCCAAACTCGAAATTTACACACACTTAAATTCCCTGTGTATCATCACAGTGTGATCAAGATGTTTAGGCGACAAATACAATGTTCCAGTTCATCGCTGTTAACAAAACACTTTGATGAGTAAGTTGTCCTGCGCAATGGTTGAGCCAATCATACTGGAAAGAGCTAATTCGGGTTAACTGTTAGAACGCCATGAATAAAATGAACAGCCAAGAATAAGCCGGTAGTAATTTGCATAGTTAATCTATGTCAACCTGACTTGTCTCAAGCACGATTTTCTTTCGTCCGCGGTCGGTGTTAAAAAAACACGCTTTCGTGACTTCCAAGCTAGAAAAATTCTCGAGTTTCGAGTGACATTTCCTTTTGTTGAATTCCATGACCCATGCGGACAAGTATTGTCAGCACAAAACAACACACGTAAACTTTGCTGCCGTGGTATTTATAGCTCCAGTGGGGATAAATCTAATGAAAAGCAAATGGGTTTCAAAAACCATTTATCATCGAGTCTGTTGAAAAAAATATTTTGACTTACCTCTCAATCTTCTGACATTCCACCGATGAAAGAAAGCAATACATCTTCGATGGTTCGCAGTACCATTCACAATTTCATCGTAACTAGTCCGTGTTACTTTGCCAAGAGTGCATTGTGATAAATCAGAACCTCATGGAAGCCAGCCTGATAGGGGACAGAGACAAAACGACTGAGTAATGTGCTTCTTGCAACAATTGTGTTACTGCGTCAGCGATAGTCTTTTTGGTTACTGAACGACGACCCATCTGAGTTGACGGCTTCATGTATCTCAAACAAAACTAGGCACTCAAGCCATAACTTATTCGTTTTCAAGGAATAGTCACAAATACAACTGTCCATTATCGCATTTGAAATGCAGTTTCAACTATCCCTGGCGGTCCAAATGTCAAACGCACTTTTTTATTGCGCAACCGAAAATGACTGCACCAGAGCTACCGCAAACGGTTTGTTCTCAAAAAGTGCAATGTTCCATGGAAATAAACAGAGCTGTCATCAAGAACGGAGTTTAAATGAATTGCCATAACTAATCTTGTCCTGTCCAATATTTGCTTGCATAAACTTGAAAAATACGAATAAACAAATTGAAATTCTCTAGAACAATAATTGTTTTGTCTGAGCAAACTCACAATTCAATATGATAGCCCGGCTTTCCTCGTTCTCGTCCTCCTTTGAGCCGGACTTCTTCGCGAGTACTTTGTTGCACACGCTTGGTCATCAACCTTTTGTATCACTCCGGATAAATTCGGGTACAACTTGCATTCGGAAGTCATATTCAGTGATGTGCGACTCTCCACCTATAGGTCTTACGTGAATCCTGTTATTCACAGAGTGTATGTCGTTTGTATTTGAACCAAAAGTAACCCTCGAAAGTATTCAGAACAGACAAGAGATCAAATGGGAAATGGTGATGATTTAACTAGGCAAAATTCAAATGGTGTAAACTTTTTCATGCTCGATTACTTGAAGAGCAAAGTTTAACCAGAATCCAGTCAGAAGTGCTATTGCGTTCATTTTGGGTTTGTTTTCAGGTCAATTCAGGCATTTGCTTTATACACTCCGAAAGGTGGATATTCACCAGCCAGAAGGCGTTATGAAATTTCGCGACTGGCGTCATCGTATTTGCACAATGTATCTATAGAAGCGATCCACAAAGCAATCTTTTTTTTGTAAAAACAACGGGAATGCCAGTGACTATGCGACAATGATCGAACGGAAAGCAACAGCACAGTCAAATTTGAAGACCCAGCCAATACAATTTCGCGGGTCCATGTATGAACTCTGAAACTTCTGTCCTCATTTATCACTAATCTATGGCCATGATAGGTAGAGTGTTCTTACAAATAACTTCGGGAACATAGATGGATCATCATGGCGTATTTCAATCACTTCTGCTGTGGCAAAGTCAAACTGTCTATACCATATGATCCAAACAGCGGAGTTCAAAGGTTTCAATCCCCTAAATCATGTAATTCGATTTGATGAGATGTAAAGTCACTTGAGTTGTTCATGTACTCGTTTCAAAACGTCAACAACAATTCATGGGATCGAAAACTTAACTTTTTCCTTCCGCAACTGATCCGCGTATTATAGTTCAGTGTGGTGTAAATAGTGCGTAGTACCCAGTGCTTAATGGTAATTCGGTATGGAAGCTGAGTAAAAACATGCCACCGTAAACGAACGCTTTGAAGGATTACTTTAGTGAATCTCTGTTCACATTCTACTCTGTGCTGCAATCGAAAAAGGCTTGCGTTCGTTGAACTGCTTTAAAATGAGATCACCCAAAGTTCAAGATCTGTCGAAAGGTGAAGTGACTTAGAATGCATTCAAACGTTCACTGATTGAACACACAGAATCAATTCCGAAGCCATCAACCAGGAATCATGAAATAGCTATTGAAACAGTTGTTTTCTTGAAGTACCTGCATTTAAGATGGATCGAAGTAGAACGAGAAGTCATACAGGAGCGGAAAGTTTGTGTGCCACCGTTGAATTCTGGGCGAGGAATTCGAGATACTGTCTTCTCATCATGAACTAATCAGTCGAGTTACACTTAAGGTCCTGAGTTCAACGTAAGAATGATAAGGACTATCTGAGCTTAGGGTGCTAAAAAAATCGTCAAAGGCCCATGCCAATCAAGATGAAAAGGTTCTAAGATAAGGTCAATGTTTAGCTGAGCTTACAGGAGGCTGTCGTAGATACCAAAGGCGTTCAACTCAACGGCGGTGTGCATATACTGCTTCGCTGGGATCAACGGTCAGAATGAGTTGAATGATAAACACAGGTGGATAAGGAGTTTAGTGGACAAAAATGACTAATCAAACGTGACGGGAAGAAAAACACCAGTCGTTCGCAGGACAGAGACGGTAAGCTGGGGATGCATGTTTATGTGAACAGTCAGCGAACAGTCCGATGTGTAAGGGATCACGAGTATCGATCAGGTGGCAGGGAAGGGTTTTGATTAACTAAATGGCGAAACTGTCACGGGTCACTGTTGAAGGTTTAATGGTCGATCTGATTAAAAGACTCAGTTCAAAAGTGGCACGCCTCTGTGATATGCCCCGAAATGAAGAAAAAACAAAAGGTGAAGACAGTCGTAGAAAAAGAACAATTGGATCAACTGGAAAAAATAGAGCTCGAAAGAGAAAAGCCACCGATTATACGAACCCATCAATAAGCAATAAAATAAGTATAGATTTGTGGAGGGGGACTACAGTGGGGTTCCAATGCATGAGAGATGGTGACGAATGAACATGGTAGTGAGGACTAACTTCAGGACAAGCCTAGCAATATCTGCCTGAATCCGCTTTTATGTACATAGAACCAGATTTGTTCGATATTTAACCATGACTTTCGTCAATTTCAACCGACACATTCGCTTGGGAAGGTAGAAAACCCTACCTGAATCTGTGAACAGTTTCTGTCATATGTTTTGCGATGGAACCGCGTAAGATGTCCCATCTGCCAATAATCCCTTT